CCCCCCCCCCCCCGGGCCCCCAGGCCTGGGGAAGTGGACTTGCAGTTGGAGAGGCAGAGGAATACAAAATGGTGTGATTAGCGGCAGGCAGCGTGCCCTCCCCATTTCCATAAGGCATTTAGATTTCTTTGCCTTGCCACACATTTTTCTCTCTGTGGGAACAGGGAAATAGTTTTAGCATGGTAAATAGACAGCGCCAGGCAGCTGCTGAGTGCAAAGCCCAGCTCCCAGCTCCGCACAGACCCCCTCCCCGCTCCTTGTCCCGAGGCCCCTTGGGGGCTGGATGCCCCCTCAGCCAGCCAGCCAGGCTCATCCTCCTCCCGGAGTGGCCCTGCCCCTAGAGTCCCCAGAGGGACAGTTCTGGGCTTGGGGCAGACTGGGATGCACACTCTTTTTTTTTTCCTGCATTTTGGGCTCTCCTTCCTGCACATCTGAGAACACTCATACCCCGCTTCAGCCCCCTGCCCCGGTCCCAGCCAAAACTCCCATGCAGGGTCTGCCAGCGGAATGAGGGAGGGAAGGAGTTGAAGCCAGGTATAGGGGTGAGGTCAAAGTTGGCAGATTCTGATCGGAGTTGTAGACCTTGAGGGGAACGGTGTGGCCACCCTTGCTGGGAGGCATGCCTGGGCGGCAGGCAGGAGCAGAAGGAAGGTGCTGTGGAGCTTTCCACTTGAGGCAGGAGTCTTTCAAACAGGGTCCCTCGGAGGAGGGGCGCATGGCCTAGAGGATCTTTGGGATCTGGGGGGGTTGGGGATGGGACATGTCATCCTGAATGAAGAGCTCAGAGCCTGGGCCTCATGAATCCTACGTGGCCCCCTGTTCTGTGCACATGAATTTCCAAGTGGCTTGGAAAGGTCCCTGTGATCCCCTGGGCCTTCCACATAAGGCTTGCCCTTTGGCCATGCCCACAAGCACTATTCAGGTGAGCCTAGCCCTCCTGGCCAGTCCCCCCAGGACCACTTCATTTCTCTCAGGACTCCCTGGGCTGATTGGCCTGACACCTAGATGTCTAGTACAGCCCAAAGATTTGGATTCCACCAGAAATGTCTATTTACCTGGAGCATAGAAATGAAGCCAGAGTGGCCGGTTCCAACTCTGGGGGTAGGGACATTTAGCTCTGCTGTATCTGTTGGACATAGGGGGCACCTCCAAGATGGGACCCTCCCAGAGCAAAGGTCACCAGGGCTGGGCAAGAGCCCTTGGTCAGCTGTGCAGCCATCCTCCCTGGCAGAGGACCAGCTCCTGTGTGTGAGCTGCATGGACACTGGGGCCTCTGAAGTGGTTCAGCCTTCGGGGAGCGCCTGGAGGACACAGGGGCTGGAGTGTCAGATGCTCAGAGCCTTGTTTTCCATACCAACTGCATGACCTCCCCACCTGACAGTGGGGACAGCTTATCCTGCCGTGCTCTCAGACATGCCTCGTGGAGTTGGGCACCGGCCCTCCTGTGCCCACTCGGGCTTGCGAGTGCCTGGGTTTTAGCACCTTGAGTCCTGCGTCCTGGGAGCCCTCACAGTCCCAGGCAAGCCAGGACAGCTGATTGCCTAGGGGCAGGCCGGAGAGGTGGCCCACCCCCAAGGTTGAGAAACTGAGGCTCGGAGCCAGACAAGCCTGGAATGCCGGAGAGAGACAGGTGGTCAGGTATAGCTGGGCTTTGGAGGTGTGAGATTCCCACAGTGCACTAGGGCGGTGGGTTGCAAATTCGGGAAACAATTTGAAAGCACCTGTCCCTCATTTACCTTAATGCAAGTACCCAATGCACATTATAATTCACTTCCCAGAAGTGTCGCTGCGGGGCCAGCGACAAGATCCCTCCTGAGGGAGGGAGGGAGGGGAGGCCTCGTGCCCTCGTCTGTGAGCAAAATAATACGCACGTCCACGCGATGAAATTGACAGCTCTCTAGTATTCTTTCCCCAAAGTGCCAGCTGCCGATCGGATTGAATTAGATTTCACAGGGGTTTTTGCAATACATGGAATTCACCAGCAAATTACTCTTAAAGAGGGAAAATCAATCATTTGGAGCAGAGATAAGCTGAAGGCAAGGCAGCCTTGGATTGATCCCGTCTGTGCAGGCGTGTGTGGAATTCAGCAGATAACCTGGGGAGAGGAGGAGGGAGAGGAGGAGGTAGAGGAGGAGGGGAGGAGGGAGGGGGAAACAGGATGGGTGAAGGAGGAGGAGGGAAAAAAGGAGAAATGGAAAAGAGAAAGGTGGGGGGGGTGGAGAGCAAGGAGAAGAGGGCTAGAAGGGAAGGGAGGAGAGCAAATGAGGAAAAGGGGAAGGAAGAGGAAGGAGGGGCAGAGAAGGCAACAGCAGAGGAGGAAGTGGAGAGAGGCCTTAAGCGGCAGGGGGAGCGGAGGCAGGGGGA